CCCCCCCCCCCCCCTGCCCACAGCCTTGGTGGTTGGAAGGTCACCCCAGCTCTGGTTGAGATTAGGTGGCCTGGCAGGAGCTCGTTCCGTGACTTTTCTGCTTGTGATACGATAAGATCCACACTCTGGTCCTTGATTGGGTTTCCACCTGGGTCGTGGGCACAGATCGGCCTGTTCGGACGCAAGCATCTTCTTCCTGAAGTGCTTAGCCTTCAACAAGACTGTGTTGGAGGGCACACAGTGCGTCACGCTGTCGTCTCATTGACACAATCCGGCCCTGATCAGTGATCTTTTGAGACAGGAGGAGGTGATAATCCAGTAGGTAAAAGGAAATTACAAATTGAAAGGAAGGCGATCTTGAAATGTTTAGCATCCTTGGCCACATTTGGCCAAGGATGCTCTCACGTAAGAGACCGTGAAAAAGGGACCACAGTGCACTTTATTATTTATCTTTGATCAACGTCAGTCTGAAGCATAAAACATAGTCCTGATTTCTGAAGCAACTTTAAAGCAAGTATAGTTGGAAGTAAGGAGGTTCATCTCTTCCAGTGGAAGGTTTCTTGAACATACTTCCTAAAAACAAACCATGAAACTTCACGTCTACTTCTCTTAAAGCGGTATTCCACTGAAATAAACCGCTCGCGTAAACTTCTCAAACCACTCTCGCTACATAATCCATTCCTCCTCCGTCCTTCTGTATGCTCAGTTTGTGCCGATCCCTGATATCGGTGCTAAGGTACGTCTATGTGTACAGCTGGATGTGTTGCTTTGTATTTAGTGTAGAAACACGAGAAATCTCAACAGGTACCAAAAAGGGTATTTTCCAAACTGTTGAACTATTTCTTTTATTTGAGTGCTTTTGGCTGTCAGATTTGGAAGCGTCCAAATTGAGTTCACTTTCCGTAATGGGTCTTTTCCCGTGTTTGCTGTCACATGTGTATCCTTTGCTTATTCTCAAAGTCAGCGGAGAGCTGCCTGGTCAGTGTGTGATTCTGTAGATTTGATCACAGAGCGCTCCTCCTCCTCACCTCTGCTGATGGGTGGAGGAAGCGGTGTCGGAGCAGACTGTATTTGGATGTTTTGAACGTCGGCCTGCAGCACAAGAGGTGCCTGTGGCTGTGACTGGCTGTCTGCTGGAGAACACGATGTGCCCCAGGTCGGGGGGAATAAATCCGCCATTGCACACGGTGTGTACATGCATTAATGCGGACAAAAGGGATCACATGGTCGTGGGGCTGCGACGTGTGAGGCCTGCTTCACATCTCTCCCACATCCACGTGCGAAGGTGGCAGCTTGCAGTTTGTCCGTCTTTCCAGCGAAGACGTGAGAGCAATGAATTGTTTCCTGTCTGCACCGGTGAACCCGTTCAGTACGGGTATTAGCTGAGGGGTACGAGCTGTTATCCACAGAAAGAAATGCACGGCTGGACCTGACTGGGAATACACACTTTGGCTCCGGGCCAACATACACACACACACACACACCGCAGCTGAGTTATTAAGTGCAACAGAACACCTCAGTAGTGACTTCGCCCGGGATACGCTCACCCTCACAGGGCCCGCAGTCACTGTAGCATAACACAACAGAAGGAGGAAATATGCTAATCATTCATTCAAGTAGCTCAAAGCTAGAAATACCCACCATAATATTTTGGATAGTATTCTAGTGATGTACAAGCCATGTGCTCAAAGCTGCTGAGGTGAAAGTGTAGCTGTGCTCAATTTAGGTGGAACGCTGTATGATTGGAGCTTTAATGGAGTCATGAATAAGTTTTCTTTTATTGTTCTTGATGCATCGCTAATTAAACTATGATCATCAGTGCCCATTTTATTTAACAAAGGTGTTGCTGATTTAAAATAACGTGGAACAGCTGTCAGGCTCTTGTATCAACATAAAATAATGAATTTGTGACGACTTTGTTGACTCATTAACATGTTGTCTTGCGCCATTATGAAGTTAAAAATGACATTAGTGCAATACTTGAAAAACTTCAGACTTAAACAAAATAACACCAGCTGTAGCAGATGTTAGCATGATAACATGCTAAACTAAGACAGTGAACATGGTTAACATTATTCTTGCTTAACATCAGCATGTTAGCATTGTCGTTGTGAGCATGTTAGCATGCCAGCATTAGCATTTATCTCAAATTACGGAATCATCCTAATTACGGAATCACAAAGCAGCTAGCTTGGCTCTAGGCTCTTGTTAGAACATTTTAAATGTATCTTGTTAGAAACTGATTTTAATGAGAAGTTCAGTAGAAGTGTAATGTTTCCAGAAGAGTGTATTTAATACCATTAACGACTGCTGCGTTCCACTTAAGAGAGGCGCTGGTATTGTGCTGTCTCACTGGAATAGCTTACTGGGACACATAATAGTGCTGAGTCTGTGCTTTTCCTACTATAACGAGTCAAATAGTCCATTGGTCCTTTTGTTTTTTTAGTCTGAAATGACCCACCTTACACAATGCCCACTGAGCATTGCCAGACCACAATGAGGGAGATTTGTGGGCTGGCTTTATTTGGCCAGTTTGCAATTTCAAACCAACAATTTTCTTTTT